TACAAGTCTGATGCGTTTGACAAGATGCTGAAAGACGAGGGCATCAAGATCTTGCAAAGCTCGCCGCACACTCCTCAGGAGAATGGCAGAGCTGAGCGACTCAACAGGACGATAATGGACAAAGCTCAGGCTATGCGCCTTGAAGCGTGTCTACCTGAATCCTGGTGGGAATTTGCGGTGAACCACGCTGTCCATGTGTACAACAGGACACCATCTCGTCGCCTCAAATGGCTGACACCATATGAGATGTTGAATGGCGAGGCTCCCGCCATTAGGCACCTACGAGTATTGGGTGCGGCGCATACGTCTTTATCCCCAAGGACGTGCGCAAGAACACTCTGTCTAGAAAGTCAGAGTTAATGACATACCTCGGTGTCGCCCCCGGAGGTCACGGTGACTTGTTCATGCGTGCACCAAATAATGTGCTCTACACGTCGTCACATGCGTTGTTCGACGAGAGTATGTTCCCCAAATGCCCCAGCATGAAGCGGCGGGGTAATACTAGGCTGCAAAGCGCGCCAAAACATGACCACAAAGCGGGTCACCAACCCACTTCTCAGGAGGATTCAGACGATGAGGATATCTCTCGTCCCTACCACCTTCCAAAGGGAACGGACGATGAGCGTGACGATGCTCAGGAGCAGCCAAAGGCGCCCAGTCCAGTTCCGCCGCCACAACCTTCGGGAATTCCTGCGCCTCAAGGGCAGCGGAAATCAGGTCATCAGCGGAAGCATGTAACTCGCCCAGGGAACGTCTACGGAGAAAATCGCAATCCCGTAGACCAGTACAAAGAGATTGAAAAGAAGGGGCAGTGGAAAAAGATTGTCGGAGAAGGGTCGGGTAGCACCCGCCCTAACCCTCAATCAGGGTCGCAGCAACAGGTTCCCGGACCTAGCGCGCCAGAACCACAGCCAGACCAACCTTCTGGATCTGCCTCGGGCTCAGACGAAGAAGTCGAGGAGTTACTCATGGCACGACTATGCCGGGAAGGGGGAGTAGGAATGGTCAACATGCTGCTTTCATGCGCAATACCATCTGTTGAACATGATTCTCCAGTATCCAATCCACGTGAATGGACATACCGCGATATTCTCAAGCTACCCAAAGAGGAGCAAGAGAAGTGGAGACTAGCGTGTCGCGAGGAGTTAGAGGCTCTACGCAAACACAATGTCTATGAGTTGGTAGACCGTCCTAAGGGACGTAGGGTTACCAAAAACCGCTGGGTCTTCGACGTCAAAACTGACGGTCGTAAAAAGGCTAGACTAGTCGCAAAAGGCTACTCCCAGATTGAAGGCCTGACTATGATCAGGTCTTCTCTCCCGTCGTACGCTTTGAGACCGTGCGCCTAATACTTGCGCTAGCTGCGCTCGAGGGCATGCACATCTCCGGACTCGATGTCCGTAATGCGTACCTCTATGGTAAACTCGACGAGGAGATTTACATGGAGCAGCCTGACGGCTTTAAAGTCCCAGGCCAAGAGCACAGAGTCCTCCGGCTACTGCGTGCTCTCTATGGACTTAAACAGGCGGGGCTTGCGTGGTGGCGCACCCTCAATGAGTCCCTCAAGGAACTTGGCTGTGTACGCCTTGTATCCGATGCCGGAATATTCATCTACAAGACAAAAGATGGGAGGTTCTCCTCATCATCGTCTATGTGGATGATGCCCTTTTCTGCGGAAAAGACAAGGCCCTAGTGGCCGCTCTAAAGAACCGCTTCATGAAGAAGTGGGAGTGTCGTGACCTTGGCGATGTCAAGGAATTCCTGCGAATGAGCATTACTCGGAAAGGCGACGAGATTCATCTCGACCAAACTGCCTACCTTGAGAAGGTGCTTGAGCGCTGTGGCATGCAGAATGCTAAATCTGCGCCTACTCCACTCCCTGCGGGCTACAAACCTGAGCCTTACACCGGCACGGTTGACCCTGCACTTCGAAGTCGGTATCAGACTGTCATTGGCTCCTTGCTATATATCATGCTTGGAACTCGCCCTGACATCTGTTTCGCCGTGACAAAACTCGCGCAACATGCTGCGAACCCGTCACAGGACCACTTGGATAAAGCACTGTATGTCTGCCGCTATCTAATTGGAACCAAGTCCTATGCGCTTGTATACAGCGGCAAAACTGGACAAGGTGTCTCGGCGTGCACAGACTCCGACTGGGCTAACGACCCGGAGATGCGGAGGTCTCAGAGTGGCTACTTTATGAAGTTAGCTGGTGGAGTGTTCAGTTGGCTGTCTCGACGGCAAAAGACGGTAGCACTGTCTTCAACTGAGGCTGAATACATGTCGCTCAGCGACTGCAGCCGCCAAGTCGTATGGATTAAAATGCTCCTCACGGAGATTGGATATCCACTTGGCCCACTACCTATCTGCTCGGATAATCAAGGAGCGATATTCATCGGCTCCAACCCTGTAACTGAGAGGCGGTCGAAACACATCGACATACGCTATCATTATATCAGGGAGCTAATTGAAGAACGACAGGTCGAAGTCTTCTTCATTGGCACTGACGATAATCCGGCAGACCTCTTCACAAGAACTTGGGCCGTGTCAAGTTCCAAAAGTTCAGAGGCATGCTCGGACTTCGATTCTACGATGAAGAGTCCTAGAGCAACCACGGACGGCAGCCCATGGCGCCAGGATATGCTTCGTATGTCAGGGACGTACTTAGCAAGGGGGAGTGTTGAACCATATAGGCGCCCACCGGGCCGCCGGGTTCCACGGGCCGGATCGCACTGCACGTGCTAGATCTGCACTTACCGCATAAAGCAAGTCATGCGTGGGAATGGACTATACAGTAGTATTAGTCAGCGTCTCTCAGATGTATATAAGACCCACCAGTAGCGTAGCTCTCCCTCCAGTACTTCCACACCGGAATAACTTGTGTGCCTCAAGTTAACCAACCTTCAAGCAGGTAAGTTAGAGTGCGGTCCACTACGTGTGACCAAGTCTGCTCAACAGATGCTGCTGAGGCGCGGGCACGTACTTCGCGATTCGGATGTTACGGTCGGCATCCGAGACCTCTTCTGGACGGGCTTCACGCTCTTCCAACTCGTCGATGTGGCTTTCCCTATCCTCTTCATTGTTCTCCAGCTCCCCGGTGGCCTGACGCTCATTTTGAAAGACCTCGTAGAGCATCATCTTCTTGCGTCTGGATATCCACCTCGTCATTTGCGGAAATTCGTCGCGGTGGTTCGAGGCCCGCCAGGCGTCCTTGGCAAAATCAATATGAAGACACTCGAACATCTCGGTATTGTAGTTGTCTGTGGTGCCGAAGAGGCGGATGGAGTCGACATAGTGGAGTAGGGAGTGGAATTTGGGGATGTTCAGATGCTCCCGAATCCCCAGTTCTACCAGGACGTCCTTGTGCCCATGAAATGTTTTGAGTGCGTCGCTCATGTACCCTAGAGTGTCGTTATCGTGAGTGGGGTACTGGGCGAGGTAAATGAAGTCGAGTAGAGATCGGAAGCAGATGAGGAGCCGCTTCGGGATTTTGCCGATGAGACAACCAAGTAGGATACGAGCCATACCCTTCCTTTCCGTGCCGGTTATCTGCGACAGTGACGAAATGCCGTGCTTGAAATGACGAACACTGAATGCCGGTGGCATCGAGCGCATTCGCCTGTCCAGTTCATTTGGACCGAGAAGATCCTGGCACCAGGAAACCAGATGCTTGAATACGCCTTGGTAGAGCTGATGTAGAACATCCGGCGTGATGGAGAGGTGAATGTCTGTGTAGGGCAAGTCCGCCCAAAACGGCTTCTTCACGGCGCCAGAGACGTCCTGTTGCATACACAGGGCCTCGCAGGCGGCGTCGCTGAGCCCCACCCTGGAGGCATCCCGGATGATGCTCTCCGTCATGTGAGGAGTACGAGGCTCACCCGAGACAGGTTCCTCCAATTTGTCAGCAGGACACTGGCATTTGGGACACGTCCCGTACTTGGAGCACGCCACAAGGCATTGCTCTGGGTAGTCGGCAACATATGCTGCGAGGATGGGATGGACCCGCCGGACAGCGCCGTCTCCTCCCGTGGCTTCAATCCCCTCCACGCCAGCTTGAATCAGAGGCTTGAGAATGATTCTCATAGCCTCGTGGAAGAGCCTCTGGGACCGTGCCTTTCGTTCTCTCTTCGTCATCTTCTCTCCTGCTATCTTGGAGACCGGGAGGGACCCAAGCAGGATACACGCGTGTTGAGATGGTTTGCGGCGGATAGAACAGGGAATGTTGCCAAGGGTGAGATAAACTGGATATGCGGTCTTGTTGCCTGAGAACTGCGTAAGCTGGGTCTTGTCTGTAGAGATAATCACAGGGGCCACCGCCGCGCCCTCAGGTAGTAGTTGCTGCAACACAACATGTAAGTCAGGAGCCCTTCCTAATTGACCGCACTTTGTACGTGCCTGCACTGAGTTCCACCACAGGCCGGTCCACATCTCCGTGTAGACTCTCTTCTGCTTTGAACGATCGAGAACACTTGTCTTGGACGGTATACGATATGTTTGGCGTAAGTAGGATTACCGAGGAGGGCCTTGATGGCCTGCAAGATGTCCGGTAGCGTACAAGGTGAATCTCGTCTGGTCGATCGGGAAAGCTCAATGACGCCGTCTTCCACGACGCTCTCTCCGGGATGTCGTCACCTTCAGAAAAAGCTCCCGGATGTCCTTGAAGGTCAGTCCGAGCTTTTCTACAACCTAATACGACTTTCAGATTAGAACACCCATACGACGCGGGGAGACTTACTCCAGGAATTGAAAGAAATCTATTGATGCCTTCTGACCTACGTCCTCCGAACAATCCACATGCCACCCTCCAGTCCAGCTCGACGCAAAAGGCTTCCATACCTCATTCCTATCCCTCCCTCTCTGCCTTCCTTCCTCGCCATCCACCTCCATTTGGTCAACGTCCTCTGCGTCGTCATCCGGATCGTCAGCGAAGAAAGCTTTCCATGTCTGGACAATGGTGTCGTTCATTGAATAACCTTCCCGGCAAGGGTCCTCTTCTTCTACCCGGGCGTCCTCGTCATCGTCCAGCGCTGGAATTGGAACGGCCCGAGAATAGGCTGAGCAGCCGGGCGAGTAGAGGACGAAGCCTCGCTCTCATTCTGTGTGCAAGGTTCCGTTACCGCGGAGTCTGGGAACACAAACCTAAATAGGTCCCTGTTCTCTAAAGCATCTCGAAGGTCCTCCGGTGGGTCAACGTCCATGTCTTCAGGAGACTGTGCCTCTTCGTCAACGACGTGCTCCTCCAGCTCAGGAAGGTTGGACCAAAGATCCTTGTTCTTGCCCTTCCTATACCACAGGCAAGACTTCGCTGTCGACAGGTGAGCCATGAGTCCCTGCGATGTATCAAATTCATGGTCGCAGGCCGGACATGTGCGTTCGTCCGGGTCGCTGAGAGGGACGAAGGGAGCTCGCCTATGTCTAGGCATGATGATATTTCTGCTGTGGATTGGTGAGATTCTGAAGGCTGCGTACTAGAAATTGGGGCTTCACCTAATGCGCAAACCAGTTCAAAGTTGATGAGTTGTCCAGTGCCAGCTAGAGAGCGCTTCCAATCAGAGCGTGAGCGCATCATATCGCCTAAGATCCCTTCAATTCCCCACGACACGACGCCCGCCTGGACACTGACCTCCTCGTCTCTGCGCAATCCTCGCCGTAGAATGGTAGCAGCTGAAGGCTCTGACTAGATCAAAGCAAATAGAATACGCCTTCCAATTGCCGTGGTAACTGCACACTACAGGATGGTCATGACAGGGAGCGCGGTAGTAAGTACAGCTGCTGTCCTCCCCGCCTTCTAACGGTTGCCACCTATCTCACAGCAAGCTCATTGAGGGTACATCAGGTGCGGTCATCTGCATTCTCAACCGTGCTCACTCACCAACCGTACATGCTTCTGAAGAGGACATGTTGGCCGAATGCTTGAGTGGTGTGTAGGAATTGCCTTATATGGTGTTTGCAACGCATGGCAAACATCCTTTTCCTCACTCTGGACGATACTGGGTGAGTAGGTACACCTCAAATCTGTTCAGGGGCACTGAGGTAAGTGATATCTTCGATATTTGAGCATATTTGAGCAGTACGTGCCCAGCAGTGAGTTCGCGGCCCAGTGAGAGAAGGAACTGAGTTGCAACAAGCTTAAGTCGGTGGTTAGCGCCGACAACATGGGATTGCGTCTGTTATTCCAAAGCTGTTCCCATGCACGTCGCCCCTTCTCTCCATCGACGCAGCCTTGTCCGACTAGGTTGTCGACCGTAAACTCTCCATGCAGGGACGATCAAGCTTGGAAAGTAACTCTGACAGCGGGTCCGCGCCCGGCTCAGACGACTACGGCTCTGGGCGCAGTATACCTGGTTCCGACTCAGACTACACTGAGCCTGGCACACCCGTCGATCTTCACCATCCCGTCGAGGTGGCCCTCTACTCGCCCAGCCGCTCTTTGGACGAGGACCAAGGGTATGCCGTGACTCTCCCAAAATCTATATCTCGCGAGGACTACTCCCGGCGCTCCCTGGCGATCTCTCCCTCCTCTGGTCCCACTTCCGCCGACATAATGCCTCAATTTCTCAAACTCATCAGGAGCCCAGACCTTTGCGAAGGAGACGAATACCGGCTTTCCAAATACTTCACTCAGATTCGGAACCTTCAGCTGGAGTGGCAGAATGCCGGTTGCGAAGGCTGGGTGACGAAGGTAACGTTACTAGTAGGCTATGATGCGGCCGTCATGTAACATCATTGTCAGGACATTACAGACGGTATGAATGAGCAGCTGTATGAGCTCATGCAGAAGAAAGTGGATGCGAGCTGGCAGTGGGAGTTGGGCGAGGGAGAGTACCGTCGTTGGTTGCTATTCATACGATGTATGAGGTGAGCAGCCATATGTATACAATGCGAATATGAGATGAATGCCTGATGATCTCTAGGATCGACTTCTGGCCGAAGCTGGGTAAAGCGGTAGTCATTGCGCCGACGTTCCCAAGAGGACATGGCGTACTCTATGACGAAGCGCTTCGGCAACGTGTTCAAAGAGAGCGAATTAGACCCCATTCACTCTACGTTGACCATTCCGTCCGACATGGTTGTCAAAGCCCCGGACGTGCACTTCCGCTTCAGGTACAACGCTGTGGTCAAGGAAGCCGGCGGCGACACGGCCTCAACGCCCTTCTTCTGTGTAGTTGCTCAGAGCTCCGA